AGAAAATATGAATGATATAAACTGAAATTAGAAAAAAACTTAAAATGGGCATTAAAACTCAGAGAAAAACAATTTCAAAGAAGACTAAACTAAAAGATCATTCACAGTAAATAAACACAATAATGTCTTAAGAGAAAATAAAAAGGGTAAACTGTTTAAATATCAGTAATGAAGAAAGAACAGAACCCAAGCAAAACTGACAAATATAGAAGATACACAGGGTCTGGCCCAAATAATGCTCCTTTTTATGACAAAATCTTTTATTATAAAATCATAAGCACGTAATTCTGTAACTCTCAAGCACACCATTTGACATTTTAGGTGAAATGTTCAAATTAAAACTATATTACACTCATATTATTTCCCTACCAACCACACTCACGCAGGCGTTACTTCTGCCGGCCCCAGCACAGTAGCAGCTCCCAAAGAAGAAAACCTAAACAAAGGAACAGACCTTCAAGTACTAAAACTTCCACTTTCCTGAAAATGAGAACAAAAACATTTGACGCTACATATTGAAAGACCACGCCATTCCAGAAAGACCAAACCAAGACATACTGTAGCAGCACTGGGAAAAAATTGGCGGGCGCGGGGCGGGAGGAATCCCGTGGGCTTCAAGCAAAAAGAATAAGGCATTCATGTGGGGAAGAAAATCATATACTAATCAGACTTTGACAGTAATGCTTTATGCCAAAAAGAATGTAAGATACATGAGAGAAAAAACATGTGAACCAAGAATTTCATCCAAACTGACTTTCAAATGAAAGGCGGTAGATAGGCTGTCGCCTGCATACAAACTCAGGGAACACTGCTCACAAGCCTTTTCTGAAGACTGATAAATTAGCAAGTGTGTATTTATTAAGTATGTATTTAGCGGAAGAGTTAAGACGATTAAAAGGGGGGCCTACAATGTATGATGACACTGTTCTTAAAATGCAGATGCAGCACAACTACAAAAACCTGCAGCGCTGAACTGTACACTAAAAAATGGTTAAAATGGAAAGTTTCATGTTGTGTACATTGTACAATAAAAAATAAAAACAAGTAAAGTACCTCGTAAGTTTACATTGATACTTCCTATTTTAATTTAGAACCGCAAGGTTTTTCTATCTCCCGTCTTAAAGCTGTGCCTTCACTTTTCCTCATAGAGAATCCTGGCTCTCATGAAGAAAACTAATGATGATCAAACAATTTTTATTTCCGTACATTCATAATATTAAAAAAAGCTACTCAGTCACCTTTGGTGAATGCTAGGGTTATTAAGTACTTAATCATAATTTAGGGTTAGAATGTATCCCGCCTTTCATCTATGAATTGTACTAAAAGGTAATAAAGATAAGGTGAAGTTTCTCTTTATAGAAAAATTCTAGCTAATAAAGGAGAAATGGCAAGAATTAAAATATCACCGCAATAAATCCCAGGATCTAAGAAGTGAGCAGCAAGGCTGCGAACATCTCAAAAGCAGAGAGGGGGTGCGTGCCCCCAGATGGAAGAACACGCCACCGCCACCTAGCAAACCGTGTTGACCACACACACCAGCCTGAATCTGTTGAGGCCTCTAGATCCAATGACTAATTCCTGGGAAGGAAGAAGTCGGAAAAACACACTAAACTACATGTAGATGCAATCAGCGAAATCCAAACTTTGGGAAACGCTCAGGACAAGTAATCCAATTTCATCAACAAATACTCAGCAAGGGAAAAAACAAGAGATGAGGGTTAGGAGGAGAACCTATAAATTAGGAGAAACTTACACTCACTGAACAAATGAAAAAAGAAACAGAACAATGGTATGAGAGACGTACACTGGGTTGGGACCAGGGGATGGTAACTGGAAGGGAGCCTTGAAGAGCTTCTGGACAGCTGGCAAGTTCCACCTCTTGACCTAGGTGACGGCTGCAAATGTATCACCTTAAAAGAATTCATTAGACTCTGCATTTGTTTTATGTGATCTTCCATTTGTGTTTTAAGTATAAAAATTATGTGAAATGCTTATATACACAGGTACTCATAGGATATACATTTGTTTATATAATTTTTATACTTATAATTAATCATACCCCCCAAATTTTTATGAAATATACATACATACCCCAAATCTGACCACCACACAGATGACTGTAATAGGACAGTTAAGGTCTCCACAGATTCCATGCTCAACACTCTACCTTACGTTCTATGGAATGTTAAAAAAAACACTCACCATGTACCAACTCTGAAGGCTGGGGCATCACAGACACAGGGTTAACATCCATAATATATGAAAGGTCCTGATGAATCAATTCATTGAAAGATGGCCATTAGAACAATGAATAAAAAACATGAATAGGTAACTCAGAGAAAAAAAAATACAAATTACCAATAAAGACAATAAATGATAACCAACCCTCCCCCCCCCCCCAATAATTAAAACAAATTGGTAATTCTCTCATATTAGCTTGGCAAAGACCAGGTTGATAAGACCCTCTACAGTACTTGCCAGGGTGTAGGGAAACCAGCATTCACATTACTGATGAACACGTAAGTTCAAACATGCATCTTACAAATCAATGTGGCTTTACCTTTTACATTTTCAAGACATACAGTTTGAGCAAATTAATTTCTATTAATTCCTCCGACAGAAGTCAAATATAAAGATATATGTACATTTAAAATGCTGTTTGCAATAATGAAAAACATGAGTAATCCAAATGTCCGTTAATAGATTTAACAAAGTTACGTAATGAAGCCAAAAATGATTTAAAAAGAACAACGTGTGCTTGTCCTGAAAGCGCTCTACAACATAAGCACAAAAAGAAAACTGCACACCATTCCATAATGATGCTAATGGGGCCTTACTGTGCACCCATGTAAACCACCATGTCATTCAAACACGGGGCTGAGAAAATGTGCACATCAACATGAACAATGTTACCACCCGTACCCCTTTGAAGGGCAGCCTGCAAGGTGATGAATATTAATACTTCCTTACTGGTACCACTGACTACATGACGGTTGTGCAGAACTCACAAGAGCCAGGTATAGTGCTCTGGGACTGGATGGGCTGCAACGAATTGGAAATTACCTGAGGCTGTCAGTCAGTCACCTTCACCTAAATGACAGTGAAACAAACAATATTACCTGACAATATATAGTGAGTACAAGATGGAGAGGCCATGAAGTCAGAATTGAACATCACAAAATAAATACCTCACAGGCAGGTGACTGACGGTTCCCTTGCTCCTTGGGCAGAAGTAGCAGCCATGCCTGCCTGGCAGTTACGGACCCTGGTCATCATCAGGCTGGATGCCACTACTCATTGGTCCAAGGTTGCCGCCGAAGCAGCCAGACGCTAGCCTCTTTCACTTCCTTTTGGGTGATAACCAAGTTCAAAGGTTTGTTGTATGTGGAAAGAGCATGGCCACCATCAGCTCACAAGCAGTGGGAAGAACCCAGGGACAGAACATGCCGAGGGGCCTGGGCAAGCCTGCTGCAGTGGGCCGGGGGGGTTCATGGCCATCTGACACCTGGCAATGCTTTTTTCTTCTGAGAACATACAGAATTCGTCAACTGTTTCATCCCTAAAAAATAATTTTTGTGAGTTACACCAAGATATTATAATAAATGTGAGTTATACCAAGATATTATAAAACAAGGATGTCCTTTTCATCAGTTATTTTGCACAGGCATGACGGTTTCTTGCACGGATGCCTGCTATTCTGTTTTTGTCTGAGAGAGAAAAGAAGCCCCCCACCTAGTGCCCCAATAGGAAAGGATATATTGTAGTTGAATGCCATTACTGTTATTCAATCACTTCAGGATTTAAAGCTCAAACGCTTACCAGATAATGTGAGTTTGGGCAAATCATCCTCTCCAAGCCTGTTCTTCATTAAATGAAGATAGTTATTGGGGTTTTGGGAGTTCAAAACAAGGTATGAAATACCTAACTAGGCACAGAACATGCATTCAGTAAGTTTCCTTTGTCCCTTCTTTTAGAACGTTGTTCCAGATCCTGTCATTTTAGGGAATACACCTCAATTAAAAAAGTCAAAAAACCACAGCAACTAACTCTTTGCACAACAGATCTTTACCTAAGTTTTATATTAAAATTCACTGCCTGATTCTTGGATCTGAAGGCTTTGAACCCAAGCGGCATGAACCCATGAAAATACTGCTTCTACCACACACAGTAAATATTTCACAGAGTCACGCCACCTGCCCAGGCTTTAGAGTGTCCCGGGCTTTAGAGAGGAGTGTAGTCAGCGGCCTTCCACCTCCAGGCTGCACCCTTTCTCTCTCCGCCCCCAAGAACGGGTGCTGGCGCTGGGGCGACGCACGGGTGGAGCCACACGGGTGGAGCCGCACGGGTGGAGCCGCACAGGTGGAGCCGCACAGGTGGAGCCGCACAGGTGGAGCCAGCATGCACGCTGCCCCGCAACCCTGCCCCAAGTTCAGGCCCGGCCTTTCCCGTTGCCTGAGAACAATGATGCTGCTGAAATGAAGACTCCCTTAGGAATATCCATTACTTCTAAAATCTTTTCAAGGGAAAAACAATAAATCTTCACCTGAAAAGAAATTCCAATACTGGCATCAGTTTCCAGAATCCATTTTATGGGAAGAAATTATAGGCTAATACTTTCTATACATACTTACCACCAGTTGTGTCATTTTTGGCGGCAAAGGAGGTTACTGTAAGGGACAGAAAATCTGTCCTCTCTCATGCATTAAAATGGGGACTGGCAAACTACTGCCTGTAGACAGTTGCCTGTCTCTGTGACTCAGGTTTTATTAGAACACAGCCTCACCCATTGACTTGCACTGTCTACAATGACTTTCATTCAGCAGAGTTGAGTAGTTCCAACAGATACCATATGTGCCAAAATCCTAAAATATTTATTATCTGGCCTTATAAGAAAAGCTTGCATTAAAATATTACCATGCTATACAAGGCTAAGTGAAACTTAATTAGATAGAAAACTAAGAATACAAAAATACAAATGACATGCTTGCTCTAATTCAGGCACTTTCAAAATCATAGTTTATTTTTTATTTGAGATAAAAAGATAGTGTACATATTAGAGAATCCCTTAAAATTCAAATCTAAAGTTATACACTGTCTAGTATTTTTGCATTGAATGTTAACCAAAAAATTTAGATACCTGAAAGCCCCACTATTAACATGAACTATGGTAATAAAAAATTTGACATTTAATTTGTTCAATATATAGTATTTACATTATGAAACGAATGGTGATATAATAAGCAGTGATAAAGAAATAGTAAAAATAAATTTTAAAAATCAAAGGTTTATATTCTTACAATGTCATAATTGTATATAAAAATTAAAACATAGCAGAGCTTTCTGTTATAAAATTCTTAATCATCTGACCGTAGTCATTACTTGCTAACATGCAAATCTGCTATAAGTGACATTTGATTTTTTTTCTCAAAATAGTGTAAATAAAGGGCATTTAAGAGAAGACATTAATTTACTTGTGATCAACAAACAAAAATACTGTACTCAAGATTAGTACTGGTCACAAGCCTCTTCCCTATAGAAATGATAAAACAGTAAAAGCAAAAAAAATTGCAGAGTGTCATGAATGGCACAGCTCAAAGAATCTTGGGACCAATCAGACACACCTCTTTCTTTCTCAGTGATTAGAGCTCTATTCTGTCATTAAATAATAATAGGCAAAGTGAGGGGTACCAGGTGTAAAACTGATTAAATCTTGCCAGATACTAAGATGGAGGCAGCGGTGGCCCTAAGAAGGGGTAATTTATATATAATTCCAACTATATACAGCATACCTGGAATGCAGCTCACCACAAAGTGGCTTTATGAAACAACTGGACCTGTATTATTTCATAGTTAAAATTATAACAAATGGTATAAGAGATTTTCATGGTAAGCAAAATTCAAGGGGCATTTTGTATTATTTATATGTTGTTTCAATTTTAAAAATAATTTTGCTAAGTATACATCTCAACTGAGGTCTATATATAAAATGTCCTAATACATACATTTTTTCACCTTTGGTAAATTAAAGGCCTTTTTGTGACTTCTGTCTGAATTGCAGACAGAATGTGAGATGTACATGTGCATGTGGGAAAAACACAACCTGAGGTAATCCAAAGGTGTGCAGGTGAGAAGACTGGAGGTACTCTGCAAGTCAAAGCACACCAGTGACCCAAAACAGGTAACAGTGATAATGGAATGCCAATATGGCAGTAAACCTTCTTTTTAAACAGAAAGAGGAAAGCCTCTCGTACCAGCAGAATCCTGCATACATTTAAAAAAAAAAAAAGTTGCCTATTATTTCACAACACAAAAGCCAATGTTAGTGTAGAGAAAACAAACTGAAGAAACTTGGAAGCCAACAGACCAAAAGCTACAGGCTTGTAGAGAAAGGAGAACACTCCATTCTGAGCAGAGTTACTTGGTGAACGCGGCCACCACCGCCCACAGGACCTCGTTGGTGCTGGCCTTCAGACTTTCCACCTCGGGATCCAAGTCGAGGAGCTGCCGCACTCTCTTGGTGGCCAAGTCATACTGCTCGTCCAGAAGGGGAGCGAAAGCATTCTCCAGGACGTCTGAGGCATGGGCTAGGTAAATGAGGGCCAGCAGGCGCTTGTCCATGCGGTGAGGGTCATTCACCCACTTGTCAAGAACGGCTTCCTGGACCTTCTTGATGAGGCGCTGCTTAATGTTGTTGTTGGTGAGGGGATGTGTTGTCATGTCAAAAAGTAGGAAGTTCTGTTTCTCTGTTGTCAATACGCCCTTTTCTACCAGGTTTTTAGCTAATCGTTCTCGCACATTTCTTAACTGATAATGCAGTTTTAACGGATTCCATGTTTCACCTAAATAAAAGATTTCAATAATTAGAAATGACAGGTATTGCCTTCCAGTCAAGATGGCAGGGTACACACTGTCCTTGCCTTCTCCCATTACTATATCAAAAATACAACTAAATTATAAAACAATCATGACTGAGAACCACCTGAAAACTAGCTGAATTTAAATGCTATAACAAAGGACATAAAGAAGCAGCCGCTACGGGACTGGTAGGAGAGGCAGAGACATGAAACAGGGGACGTGGCCTCAGCTGCAGAGGTGCCAAAGAACAAGAGGCCTCCGCCCCACACTGGGCTCCCCAGCCCAAGGCGCCAGTGGTGGGAAGAGGAGCCCCCGTAACATGTAACATCTGGCTGTGGAAACCAGCAGGGACTGCACGGCACTGAGGACAAGGGCTGCGGGAGGCCCAGGCATTCCTGCTGGGAGGCTGGCGGCACACAGATCCACTACAACGAAGTCATTCGCACTGGGCTCCAGTGCAGAGGCCGCGGCTCCAAAAGCACCAGGGACACACAGGAAGAAACTAAACTGGCCAGCTTCAAGGAAAGCGCTAGAGGAGCAGGGTGGGGGCTGCTCTCTCCCAGGGTGCCACTGTTCCTCCGCGGAGCCCTCCCCCACCCAGCCAGCCCAGCGGAGGCAGGCCCTAATCTGAGCTCTCCATGACCCTGCTAACTCCAGTGGTCCCCGCCCAGGCGATTCAGTGAAACCCCACCCACCCCACACAACAGGTGTGCCCAGCAGAACAACTTCCAGCAGCTCCTCCAAGCAGGCAACCTGCCTCAGCTCGGGCTGTGGACTTTTCTAAAATCACTCAAAGATCCACAAAGCAGTGGCTGTCCTCAATGAGCTAGCTAAACTATCTCAAGTCTAGAACAAGCACCAACAGGTTTCAACTTGCATTGTAACTACCATCAAGTAGCCCCAAGCCTGGCATACACAGGAAGCACTCGTCTTGGAACATAGCCTCAACTAAGTAGCCACAAACTCCACAAAAGTGGCAGCTGGCCTCAGCTCACATCATGGTACCCACCAAAGGGTCCTAAGACCAGCAAGTGGCAGCCAGACTTGGTTTGCAGAAGAGGCACTCCCAAGCAGCTCCAAACCCAGCATAAGCAGCAACTAACCGCAGACCACCTTGTAGCTCCTACCAGAGAGCCCCAAGCTGGGCACAAGCAGTAAAACTAGGCCATTTTCTTACAACATATACAAAAATAAACCCAAAGTGGATGAAAGGCTGAAATGTAAGGCCTGAAACCATAAAACTCATAGAAGAAAATATAGGCAGTAAATTCTGACATCGCTCTCAGTAACATTTTTTTGGATATGTCTCCCCAGGCCAGGGAAATAAAAAATAAACAAATGGGACTACATCAAACTAAAAAGTTTTGGCATAGCAAAGGAAACTGTCAACAATACAAAAAAGACTAGAAGAACACATTAGCCAATGATGCATTTAATAAAGGGTTAATACCCAAAATATATAAAGAACTCAACACCAAAAAACCCAAATAATCCAATTAAAAAATGGGCAGAGGACCTAAATAGACATTGCTCCAAAGAGTACATACAGATGGCCAATAGACATGAAAAGATGCTCGACATCACTAATTATAAGGGAAAACGCAAATCCAAACCACAATGCCATACCACCACACACCTGTCAGAATGACTTTCATCAATAAGCCAACAAACAACAAGAGCTGGGGAAGATGTGGAGACAAGGGAACCCTGTAAACTGTTGGTGGAATTGTAAACTGGTGCAACCACCAGGGAAAAACAGTAAAGCAGTTCCTCAAAAAAATTAAAATTAGCACTACCATATGATCCAGCAATTCCACTTCTGGGAATATATCCAAAGAAATCCAAAACACTAACTCAGAAGAATACATGAACTGCTATATTCACTGCAAGATTATTTATAATAGTCAAGATATGGAAGCAGCGTGTCTACTAAAAGATAAATGGAGAAAGATGTGGTGCATACATACAATGGATTCTTACTCAGCCATAAAAAATAATGAAATCTTGCCATTTGTGACAACATGGATGGACCTACAGGGCATTATGCTCAGTGAAATCAGTTAGTCAGAGAAAGACAAATACCATATGATTTTACTTACATGTGGAATCTAAAAAACAAACATACAAACAAAACAGAAACAAACTCACAGGTACAGAGTATATGTATAGTTAGAGATGCCAGATGGTCACAGTGGCAGGGGGCAGGGCGTAGGGCTTGGGTGAAAAGGGTGAAGGGATTAAGATGTACAAATTGCCAATTATAAAATAGATCTTAGGGACGTAAATTACAGCATAGGGAATAGAGTCAATAAATAGACTTATCGGGGTGATTACTTCATAAAATATATAAATGTCTAATCACTATACTGTACAATGGAAACTAATATTGTATTATATTACATGTTATTATATATTGCATTATATTACATAATTATATATTACGTTAACTGGATTTGAAAATTTAATTTGAAAAAGATGATAGAGAAGATCTGCTAATTTTATAAAATTTTGTACTATTAAAATAAATAGTAAAACTCAACTGTTTTTCACTCCAGAGAATCAGAAGAAAAATACAACTGTGTTTTCTTGTCAAATAAACCATGAACCCCTTGAACACCTGGCCTTTGGATTCTAAGCACCTGGAACATTTTCAGGCATAGTAGTTACTCAAACGACAGAACTGAAAGCAGTGTTCAAATCAAGTAACCCAATGTGAAAATGAGCCAAGTGTTAAATTATGTTTGGCTTTTCTCCAGCTGTTGTCAGAAAGCAGCCAATAGCAAAATAAGATGTTTATTTTCTGTTAAACACCAATATGCAACAAAGAGATAAAAGAAAAAAAAAGTTTCCTGACCAATATGTTATTCCTGAATCTCCTACTACATATACCCAACCTATAAAGATAGAAAAGCCTGTTTAGGCTATGGCAGTCTTTGGTGACAATATAAAGCTAATTCTTCAAGGACTAAACATCTTCAACATTTTAATCTTGTTATAAATACACATTTTCTTTTGAGACAGAAATATTTAAAATAAACCAAACGATTTTTTTACCTAAAACAGTTTTTCCCTATAGAAGACTGAAAGGAAATATATCAAAATATTAATCTTATCCTGGTCAGTGTTGCTCAGTTGGTTGCTACATCGTCCCATACCCAAAAAGTTGCAGGTTCAATTCCGGTCAGGGCACATACCTAGGATGCAGTTCGATCCCCAGTCCAGACATTGGTTATTATGGGAATTATGTGTGATAAATTTTCTTTTGTATGTTTTGTATTTTCCAAATGATCTCCAATGAACGTGTAACTATGTTTATTGTTTAAAAAAAAAAAAACACTACAGTAATTTTCTAAATTGGGGCATGTTAAAGATCAACCATAGGAACTTTTATTATATACAAAAGCTATTAAGGTTGAAATTTTATAATACTGAGAGAAAACCTTAAAGTGTACTGTCTACTATGGGAGTCAGTAACCCCATGGGGCTATTAAATTTAAATCAATAAAAAGAATTCAGTTCCTCAGTTGCACAAGCCACATTTCATGTGCTCAACAGTCATGTGTGGCCAAGGCTGTTGTTCGGATATCACAGAAATGGAACACTTCCACACTCACAGAAAATTCTGGTGCACAGTGCTGTCTTGCTGTCTTAAAGTCTACTACTATTCAGTGGGCTATCGGCAAAATTATTTCACCATGTGAGTCAACACTAAAAAATACACGGCTATGATAGAGTAATCAGTCCTGGACTTGCATTCTGACGTTAAACAATGAGAAATCTGGATAAAATATATGAAACAACTGTTTTCACCTGCTAGTCCAATGGCAGCCCAGAGCTGTGATCCTTGAAAGAAACCTAAGTGAGCCCTATTATTGCCCAAATTTACTACCTAAAGGCACAGTAAAGGAAACAGAGTAGGAGAGAAGACCCAAAGCAGAGCACAGGAGTCCTGCTGGGTTAAGACAGCAGAGGTCAGAGGCAAAAGCAACTGAGATCTGCACAGCCGAGCACTGGAGAAGAGGGAACTGTGCAGGTTACGTTAAGAGCTCTAAAAATCCGCAAGGTCTGTTCCCTTGAATCTGGCTGAAAACAAAGCCACACATGTTTCAGCGTGAAATTCTACAACGTTAGGCAAAGAAAAATTACCAGAAATTTGTAAACTGAACAGGGATTAAAAAATTTGACGGCCAACTAGCCTCAGTGGAAAGGCTCAATGAATACACAGGACATTCAGACAGGACTCCAGAAGGCTCCAAGCTCAGTAGGAGGACTAAGCTAGACCTTGAATAAAAGGCTACTCTAGACCTGGCCTAACAAAGTTCAAAAACAAGCCAATCCACAAACAATTTAACTGACTATCAATTCAACACTCTATATAAAAGAAGACAGTAAAATTCAGCACTCAACGGCATGGCACTCAATGTCCAGCATACGATAAAATTGCTAACCTTGCAAAGATGGAAAACGTGACCTAAAACTAAGAGGGGAAAAGAAAAAACCAACAGAAACAGTCACCCAAATCAAACAAAATACAGGCCACAGAAATGATGGACTTAATAGATAAGAACTTTAAAATGGTTACAAAAATATCTAAATAATTTAAAGAAAAACATGAACACAATGAAGAGAAAAGATTGTTCTTCTTTAATCCTCGCCAAAGGATATGTTTATTGATTTTAGAGAGAGAGGAAGGGACAGAGAGAGAGAGAAACATCAATCGGCTGCCTCCCATACATGCCCCAACTGGGGATCGAACTCACAACCTAGGTAACGTGCCCTAATCAGGAATTGAACCTGAAACTTTTGGGGGAAGTGGAAAACACTAATTAACCGAGCCACCTGGCCAGGGCAAGAACTATTTTTCTAAATGAGTAAATGATCTGGAACTGCTATGTTTCATTTTGTGATTCACTCTGTGTAACTACAAACTTAAATAATAAAGGGTTGGTACCATGAATTATTAGTAAACTGAAGTCACCACCTA